GTCAATGTACCAATTAAGAACAACTACGAGTTAATGGAGTTTACAGCAATGGTTGACAGTTCCTGACGATACATGATGAATAAATCACACCCACACGGATGAATAAATAAACACAAGCCACAATAGAAAGAAATGTTTTCGGAACGTTTTTCTAAATGAGATTTTCCAGGAGATCTTTGGAGAAGCCTCTACGTTTCAAAAACTTTCAATAGGATTATCTTGATTTTTTTATGTGGATTGATAGTCCAGAGTGTTCTTTTCAAAATGAGAGTCAAGCGAGACCTTGATTGCCAGTAGTTCGGGTGTGGTATCGAGTTTCTTTGGAGTCTCAGAACTGGTATTCGCGGAGACTATTAACCTAAAAAAACTCAATTTGCAGTTTCCAAAGATTCCTTTTTTTTGCTTATATTAAGTCCATATAAAAAAATCAAGATAATCCTATTGAAAGTTTTTGAAACGTAGAGGCTTCTCCAAAAATCTCCTGGAAAATCTCATTTAGAAAAACGTTCCGAAAACATTTCTTTCTATTGTGGCTTGTGTTTATTTATTCATCCGTGTGATTGTCATTTATATTATCATATATCGTCAGGATCTGTCAACCGTTGTTGTAAACTTCATTAACTCGTAGTTGTTCTTAATTGGTACATTGACTGAAACACTGGGGATCTGTTTCTTTTTCTTTTTTGGACATGAGTTTTATCTATTTTTAGTTAACAACATCCATCCCTTTCCCAAAAAAGACAATAATCATACGCTTTATTACCATTCATATATATATATAAAGAGTCATCATCTTATTCCATTTATTATCAATTTGCACTTAGAATAAACATTATTTTTTTGCAAAGAAAAACACAACTCATGGCAATGCATGCAGTACCCATTCATCGTTTAAACGGTCCATCCAATGATAGGTCATCCGAATTAGCTCTACTATCACCTTCAAAGACAGCCGGTGATGATTTTTGGTTCGATCCTTTTCTGCTCGATCAAAATGATCAACATATTCGCTGGTTAAGTCGTCCGAATCAACAACTGGTATTGGAGAAATATTCACAGGATCAAGAAAAATTTCGGATTACATTCGATGTTGAAGGATTCAATCCCGATAATATCAAGGTAAAGAGAAGATTTATTGTGAAGACGTTGTTTCCTTTTTAGAGATAACAGCTACAACGCTAATTCCATGTAGCCCTTGCTGTTGGGCTTGTCTGAAGGATGTGATTTTCCCAATTTAAAACTGAATTTTATCGTTTCCAGATCTATATTCAAAATCGAAAGCTAACAATATCGGGTATTTATGAGGAAAAAAGTGAAAATCGTTATATGCAAAAGCAATTTGAAAAGTCCTATGATATTCCATATAATGCCGATATCGATGTTATGGCTAGCTATATAACACAGTTACATATGCTTGTTGTTGAAATACCATTAAATCCACAAATACAGCGACCAGTTGAACATTTGGCTCCGTCACAAAATGACCAACGACGTCTATCATTTAGTTTGAATAAAGCACAAGAACAATTTCAACAACAACAACACAACCAAGTAGCACATAACAACAGCTTACCGCTACCAGGCTCCCAGATTCGTCGCACATCAATAACAAAAACAACGACAACAACAACAACGAGTGGCGATAGTCATCATACCCAGGGATGTCAAAATTCGACAGAAAGGAGTAATGCCGTTCAATCATGTCAAAGCCATACAGGTCAACAACAAGTTCAAAGTAATGAAAAATCATCATCAACATCAGCAAATACTCATTCTTCAACGTTAAACTCGTCTGGTAAGTGTTGAAATAATAATGACGTACAACTGTTCGTCTTCAAAATACCTTTTCTGTGTTATAGGTCTCGCAAATTTACCAATTGATATTCCTACTGAACTATTACAAAGTGGAGGGACGATAACAATCACAAAGAGAAAAGTATCAGTAACAAAAACACACGATGGTAGTGAACCCCAAATAACAAGTAGTTCCCATCAGACGTCGCAAAATCAACAGCACACGGTATCAAGCAGTCAACATTTGCCAATCGGTCAACATCAACAACCGCAACAAAATACCACTACTGGAATTCAACAGTCGCACATACACGAAAATCGATCCAACAATCAACAACAACAAGAACAACAGCAAACCAATACTGCGACAAATAAACAAAGCACTCAAGTATGTTTCTGTTTAAAGTTTTAAATATATCATGTTGGAGCACTTTTTTATAACAGGTAAAAATATCAAGAGGATAAATGTGACAGACACTGTAAATAATTTTTAATCAGTAAATTACTTATAACTATTTTCTTGTGCAATACGTGTTCTTATTTCTAGTCTTCCGCAAATAATCGGCGTATGTTCACATTAGAAGAATTTTTGGAAAATAAAACATGGAATCCTAGAATAATCGATGGTGAAAATGGTGAAAAAATTCTTTATATGCGTTTAGAAATAAAAGCAGGTATCAAACCTGAGCAGGTTCAAATTACATTAAAAGATCGGGACTTACGTGTAGAAATCGGCAATAAAGCAACAACTGATACTACTGGCCGTTATTCAAATGAACATAGTTACCGACAAGTCACATTATTTCCTACATGTGATATAAACAAATTAAAGACTTACTTCAAAGATGATAATTATCTTCATATTGAAGTACCCATTAAATTATAATCTATAGTACAGCACTAACAACGAAACTGTACATAAGGTTTATTATTAATGACGTAGAAAAAGATGTCTTAATAGTTAAATTATATTGAATTTGTCAAAATTAAAGAAGTATCCTAATAGTTTTTTATACGCTTATGCAATTATTTTATTTAGTAAAACAATTAAGCTTAAAAAAACAGAGCCATTATTGTTGAAGATATGCAGTGAGCAGATAAACGATCTATATTTATTTATCGAGCACAATTATTTTTTGTAAAATTTAAATTCGTACAAAAGAACTAATAGACTAAAAGTTGATAATTTCTTTAAATAGAAAGAAAATTATTGCTTTGAACTTTTGACAATTACTTTTTTGATTGTCCACCAATATAGAATTAAATTCTGACGACATGATTCAGTCTCGATTCGTAGACACGTTAATTAATTTTCCTGATTCGTCAACACTTTATAGTGTCGATGGCTCATAGACAACGTCCATCTCCCGCCCAAAATTTTGTCGGCGAGTCAGGAAAACAAAATTAATGTGACGACGGATCGGGAATAGACCGTCGACATTGATAATCGATATTGGCTTATTTTATTTATAGTAGAATGCAGAGCCAGCGTAAATGATTTTTTGTCATGTTCACTATACTCTTCACCTTCTATATATTTTGTTAATGCAGGTGACACTTAAATGAAGGAATACACTACATTAGAAATCTTAACTTTCAATAATGACAAGGTTTAGAGGGAGGAAATGTATCATGATCAACAAATGTCGGTAAACAAATTTTTATCTTGTTCAAGAATTGTTTTTCACTGATTTATTTAGATTATACATTGATTCTAGGCTCATTCAAGAAATTTTGATTTCATTGAATATTATCCAGATTTTCGTTCGGTTTTACACAATATTCGACTACATTTGAATGATATGCAGAAGTATTTTTGAATATCAATAACTTTTGAAGATAATGAAATCAATTATTGAATAGAGTTACTTTTAATCGTTCAAAATTGTCTCAATCTCTGAGTATTTTAAGCATTTATACATGATTTACATATATGTGATGAATGATCAACATCAATAAAAGAAGAATGCATATAATATACCTTACTAGGTATATTATATGCATTTAGATTTTTCTAAAATATTTATCAATATCGTTTATAGACAATGGAATATAAAAATGCCTCACCTACGATATTTAAACCAGATATTTTTGAGTTGAAGTGTTATATATTTCCCATAATATGAGTAGTTAAATATTGAAAATATTCTGCACTCTTTCTTCATTCGTTCATTTGATAATTATTTTTATTGTTCAGGCTTTGATGACATAGTTTCATTACTTCTGTTGAGCCGTATGCAAATGAATTTATTTTTGTTGTTATTATTGTAAATTATCAAATATTTGTTGCAATATTTTTACAAATTTTCTACAGTACTTGATACTGAAACATAAAAGAATAGAATGCAAAATGTAAGATTAGCGATGGAAGAGAGAGTAGTATGTGACGAACGTTTTTCGTTTTCTATTAGGGTATAGTCGAACGTTTTGTTTCAAAAGTAATTTCGTCATATTTACTTTATTTTAAATCAGTATTTTAGTGTCAAATATTCGAAAATAATTATGTGGATAGTTCAACAGTACTTATACATTTTCTTCTTTGTGTGAACTACTCGTGAATTGAAGATGGCTGTCAAAACTTGGAAGAATAATTAGAAGTTTCGATGTATGATTATTTATTAGAACCATTTATTCGAGCTTCAATAGACTTTTTTTGCATTTTTCTTTATTCATTTCATGGAGATCTTCACTTTATTGTGTGTTTTCCAAGATCTTGCGACATTTCTTAATCCCAGATAGATAGATATAAGAGTACAAAAATTTTCACTAGAAAATAAATTCGCTGTTTTCATTCACCACTTAAGTTCTTCACATCGGAATCCGATGATCGGATTGCTTAGACAATTAGCAAATATTCATTCAGTATAATGAATATTACATTCCTTGTTTCTTTTTCCAAACACTTACTGCGTTCAACATATTCATCTCAATGAAAAGCTTTGCTAATCATCAGTCAACATGAATATTCTGCAACGCATGAGTCATTATTTATGCTGTCCGTCGGTTGTGGCGTCAAACACTGATGTAATGATCGACTTCATTTTTTTGAAACATATCAAAACTAGTTTTTTTATAGTTCTAGATAATCCAGGTCAAAGAACTCAATAATAGGATCATATGGGATCTTGTCAGATCCTATCGGATCCTAAAATAAGATCTTGTCTGATCTTATATGATTTCATAGGATCATATCTTATATGATCCTATGAAATCATATAGGATCTTATAGGAAACACCTCTGCCATCTTAAAGCAAGAAACGACGTAGGATTCCTATTATAGGATCCTATGAGGTCCCACAGTAGAAACTTATAAGGTTATGTAAGATCCTATATAATCTTATTATAGGATTTGATAGGATTTTACATGATCAGCTAGGATATGATATGATTCATTCTACTAAGTTTATTATTTTTATTTGTTTAATTATTCTCTGATCTCAGATAGCTAGAATCAGGTGATTCTAAGTTGGGATAAGCCTTGTGAGTACTCGCCCACACGTCGTCGAACAGTATAGTGAGTTGCGATGGGTCACAGAATTTCGAAAATTTGAGTCTAAAAGAATTTTTCATTTTAATCAATAGAGTTGTATTTATATTATAGTTACTACAAAGCACGTCGGTGAATGTGTTCTCGTATAGAAAAAGAAAAGAAAATATATACAGAACGAAAAAATAGGAATCCTACAAAATCTTACCGTTAGAATTTGTAAGAAACGCATAAGGTTCCTATTTAGAGGAATCCTATAAAAAAATTTCTACCGTTGTATATCAAGAATTCTGTAGAATTTCTGCTGTAGGATTGTATAGGATCCTACAATAGGAATTCTATGAAATTCTATTATCAGTAGGATTCTGTAGGATCTTGCAGGAACCTAGTAGGATTGTTTGACCCGGGACGGCCTATCTTCTACATATATCTTTTCTCGCCATTTAAACTTACTGGAGTGATAATTAAAAGAAATTAATTAAATTACTAAACTAAAGTTAAATAGCATTTTGGCAAATCTTAGAATGATGTTACTATGTGAACAATTGAAAATTTTATGAGTAACTTCTGTAAGAAATCATTGAGTATCAATTACAAAACAACGGCTACGAAATTGGGGATGAAATAATGGACACTTGATGATGGAGTATAACTTTTTTTTTCTCTTTTGTGTGAATACAATTACTATTGAAATAAATAAAAGTAGCAAAGAGAAATATATTTTCTTCGTTCAGCGCATGAAGGAATGACTATATTCTCCTTTGAAGAGCTTGGCGCAAGAAGTAAAATGAAGGAAGACTAATCTTGTTCTCAAGGATCCTTGAACTAATCCTGTTCTCACATCCGAATCAATTTATCTGCCGTTCATTTACCAAATGTTCAAGAGTGCATAGTATTTTTATTTTTCTAAGAATAAAATTGTATAAGAAAAACACGTTTACACGATTTTATATTTGTTTCAGTCGAAAAAGCTAAACAGATGATAACATGAATATATCACCGTTTAAGAAACAGAAATACAAAAAAAAGTGATTCACTGGGCATAGTTAGAAACAAAAACTGATAATTTTGTCAATCATTCTCACACACTTTCATATTCTTTTTGCCATTGGGTATATTTATCTTTGAATGCACGTGCTGATGGTTTTGTAGTTGATAAGACCTTTTCAACATCAGTCGTTTTTATTGAATCAAGTTGAATACATTCACCTAAATTAGCATCTGAACAAAAGCAAATTGTTGTGTCAAGTTTAACAAAAGACCGAGCATACCATCTTTAAGATTTTCTAATATGTCAAATACTTTACGGACTGGATTCATAGCTGCTTCTTTACAAACAAGTTTAATGTCAGCACCAGAATAACCTTCTGTACACTAGAAAAGATAGTCGTTTTACGATATATCGCTAAGTGTTTTTAGAAATCTTTACTTCACTTAGACGACCGTAATCGAGATCGGAAAGTAAAACTAATCCATTTGGTTCTCGTATCACAGTTGGAGGTAGAAATTGCTGAAAGAGTGATTGTCTCGCTTCATTTATTGGTAAATCGACGAGAACACGTTTTTCCAGACGTCTTAACATTGCATGATCAAGTTCCCTAAGAACAGGATAGACAGTTCTACACTTTCGCATAAACGAATTACGAAATACTGACCATGGTAAATTAGAAGCAGCTAGAAGAAAAACTAAATCATCGGATTTCGATAATCCATCAAGTTGAACGAGTAATTCTGTTTTCATACGACGACTTCCTTCATGTTCACTGCCAGCGTGTCCACCACCGCGTTGACTCATGATCGATTCTAATTCATCCAAAAATATTGTGGATGGTGCGTGAAATCGTGCTAATTCGAATAATACCTTAAACATATAAAATTATATTATGTATTCAAATTAAATTTGACACTAAACACGGACTTCTTCTATGAAAAGTTAAGAGTTTCATAAGTCATATGTTTAAAAGCTAAAACTTTCTTTAAGAAACTTACTCGAACTAATTTTTCCGAATCACCCCTCCATTTACTAACAATCGTTGATGCTGATATATTAAAAAATGTTGTATTACATTCAGTAGCAACTGCTTTTGCTAATAATGTTTTACCGGTACCTGAAGAAAAAGCAAAAAAGATGATAAACCTATCCCTCGAAACAAATAGCATACAATCTTTACCTGGCGGTCCGTAAAGTAAAAGAGCTTTCCATGGTGATAATATTCCGGTGAATAGTTGTGGATACTAGCAGAGAATTCTTTCAAATTAGTTTATTTCATTTCATGTTATATCTGACAGCTTACTCGTATTGGATATACAACAGCTTCTTTGATAGTCCGCTTTGCTGCATCTAATCCGATAATATCATCCCATTTTACACTTGGATTACGAAGATAAATATCCTAAAGTGATATGTTTTGAAAAAACTCTAGAATTTTGTGTGAAATATTTTGGTTTAAACGACAAACATCTATTATCTTCAACTATCAAGTGCAATTAGCATAGGAGGAATTTATTCTAAAAAGTATTTTACTGTTCTTCTACGAATTGCACTTTTTCGTGTATCATCTACTATGAATTTCTTGTTTTTATCTGATTTATCAGAAATTTTATACACTTTAGGCAAAGTATATGAAATGTGTGTAAAAAATATAGTTTGAAATTATTGCGAAATTTCAAAAGTATTAGTTTTTCCTTTCAATAAGATCTAACTTGATGCTGAACGCTCAGAAACCACGTTATTTAATATTGTTTGTTAAAGTCATTTAAATAAGGTATTTTTAAAACTTAATAGGATAAACATAATCAAAAGACAAAAATATGTAATTGGGCAATAATTATAAATCATCTAAACACATTATTTTTCACACACACTTCATTTCGCTTCTTTATTTTATGACTATTTTTCCCAAAGAAGATTAATCATATAACGATCATGCATTCTAGTCATGATCTCGAACAACAACCGCAAATCAGGGCGAAAAAAGACATTAGTAGAGATGGAAAGAAAGAATGACATGCATCTGTGAAATAAATAATAAGATATGAAACTATTTTTATTAGATATGCAATGATGCTACAATGTGAAATATATTTATATCCATGATAGTTAAACTATAGTGTAGTTAACAACATACAACTATGTATGTGTATAGAACGTTTTTGATGGCATGAATGATTCATAACCTCCGGTTCAGAGAGAAAAAGTCATGAATAATATCTATTACTACTAGAAACACCATATTAACTTCATATAAGAATGCAAAAAGGGAAAAACATTTGTCATCAATGGCAGAAATACACCTAAAGATCTATAGAAAAAAATTCAGAACATTTACACTTGAAAATCTATTAAAAGTTCGGCAATGTCCTTAGATTGAAAATCATGATATTTTAATGTTTATCGAGAAAACTTGCTATAAATTTTAACTTTCGATTCGGAATCAAACTAATCGATCTTTTAAAAACAAAAAAGCGAACGCTTTTAATTCTGATGAACTCTCAATATTGTTAAAAATTGTAGAACATAATGCCGGAAACCTTCATTCATTCGATTATTGGATTAAATTCGATCAGGTAGAAGCATCTGCGTACATTATTATAGAATCATCACAATATCCAATATTTGAATGTGTAAACACAATTTTCATAGTTTTATAAACCTGTCAGCTGATTCAAAACAGGAGGGAGGGGGGGGGTCGAATGCTGCAAAATGAATGTTTTTCTTTTCTTTCTATGTAGTCGTCTTTGTACTGCAAGCAACATTGACAGAGAACGAACAAACAGTTGTACATAACCATAAATATATGCAAATCAAAAAATGTTTTTTTCTTCCTCCTCAAGTAGAAAGAAGTAGCTCTGTCGAACAGAATCTCTATTCTTATTCTCCTCTATCGTCCTTTCTCTTGTTTATACAGATATAAATTCATTTCACGCATAAGACTCTGGGTAACAAAAAGAAACCCAAAGCTATTTTTTTCATTTTCTTTTATTTTCTTTCGAATGAGAAAGAGAGAAGGGGGTGCAGGAAATAGAAGGAAACAGATTTTAACTATTGACATGTAAAATATCTATCTCTACTGAGAGCACAAACGATTGTGCATAAAAGAGTAAAAGAATAGAGAGAAAGAGAGAGAGATAAAATAGAAATAAAACACAAGTATTACTACCAACATACATTTTGTTTTATTCTCTCGTGTTCTATCTATATAGACAAAAGCCGAAACGAAAGTTGCCGTTCACATCAAGTTTTCAAAAAAAAGAAACATATAGTCAAGCGAACACGTACGTACGTTGATAAAACTTGGCTAACGTTTTACCGCCTAGACGACGCCCGACGGCATGTTTGCTTACATCATATAGATCAACTTAGGAAAAAGTAAGATTTTCATTCCTCCTATTATTATTATACTATAACTATTACTATATGATGTTATTTTTTTTTTATCAGTTTTCCAAATGTGTTGAATATAATTGTGATGGGCGCTCGGGATATTGAGGGGATCACTCAGACCTACTCAACCAAAGACCAGAAAGAGAGAGAGAAAGAGAAAAAGAGTAGTACTGACATAAATAAAAAAAATTACCCATAAAAATGAGATAAATTGACCTGTATCACCATGTCCTGTTGTTCGATAGAGACGATAAACTCTTTTTTTTATTTTCTAATTCTTTAAAAATAAAAGACAATAATGACAACACAAATAAGACGAGATAAATTAATTAATTAGTTAACGAAATAATTGGTGACGATCGATTTCATATATTCTAATCTGCAACAGGATGTTCTTAGAACATTGTTGATGACAGAAGAAACTAAAACAAAATCTATCTGGAGTTACGTGACAGAAGAAATAATGAACCTAGTTCGAAAATAACCTATTAAATAATAGTCAATGATAAAAGAAATGACTTGAAATAAAATGTATAACGAAGTTCACATAACTGAACGAGTATGCAATGTAATACTTCGTTCATCTTTTCTTACTCAAACTTTAATTGATCAACAAGAGCTCATAGGTGCGATGAAACAATATTAGAAGCTAAAGCAAAGAAAAAAACTCTTTCATAATATTTATCTTATATTTTACAGTACAACAATATTATGAACATGTTCTATTTGCACCGATTTGTGAGAAACAGAATGACCTTTTGAATTTGTGAGAAAAAGATTAGTTTGTGCTTTTTAGAATGCGTTTACCTTTCCTAAACTTTTTAATATATATGAATACATATGATTCATAACCACAAATTTGTTGATTCTAGTCATTGACAGTTAGAATAAATATAGATTAGAAAACATTTTTGAAACGTAAAATTTTCTGTCGATTTCAGATTTATCTATAAGAACGAACTTCCGGAAAAAAGTTGCTTCCGATATACCTGAACAAATAAAATGTTCACAAAGATCTCAGACGATAGAGGTTTATTGAGGTGTCCATATTTCAGAGTTACATTCTTTAATACTGAATCTATAGCTTGAGGAGATTGAGGATGTCGATGTAACACAGCACTGAATAAACGGTGGCAAAGAAGTTTTAAAAGATGTCCAACTATTGAAAAGAAGTTGTAACTGACTTTTTTCAGTGTAAGTAAGCGAAATACGCGTGTTTTTTAATAAAAAGAATTAGATGATTGACTTCGATAGGCAAAAAAAATATCAGATGTTATGTTAAAATATGAACTGAGTTCCACTCTTAAGTTCAGCACTTTCAGATCATTTCTATTAATGTGAAGAACTATGTTTCAACAATTTGTAAAACATCTCTAGTGAACACAAGTTATTATACCTGATTTAAAATCGCTTTTTATGAACAATTACACTTTTTTTGCTTATATGACATTTCCCTATCTTTTGGTATACATATATATAATATGTAGATAGAACGCAAGAAAGAAAGCACGTGTTAAATATAATGTATGAGATACCTAGTTTAGATACATAGAGATTCTTAAGATAAACGTAGTAAGGATGGAAAAACATCTGAAGTTAAACTAAACTAATCTTGCTTATATGTTGTATAGTTGATAATTGAATGAAAAAGCTTTGATTTTACCCACAAAACAATCGTCTGTACCCGTTTTCTAGAATGCTTCCATTTTTGTCTTTTTAGTTGTTTTCGTTTCAATCTCTTCCAAAATGTCAACCAAACGTGATGCGTTTATAAAAACAATTGAAAAGCGTCGTAGTGTCTATTCTCAAGAGCGCTTAAATCAAATATTACAAGAAGCATTACTAGCAAAAGATAAAGAACCAGGTGATCGTACAGCAAAAGATTATAGACGTATTAAACGTTTTGATATTGTTGAAGTACATGGGAAAAAACGTTTAGTAGCATCACGAACAGATGATGAAAAAGAAATGCGATTTTTCGTATCAATCGAGGAGATGTTTGATATTATTGATTTTACCCATAAAAAAATGAATCATGGTGGACGTGATCGTTTATGGCCAATATTATCAAAACAGTATGCGAATATACCCCGCGAAGTAATTCAAACATATTTAAAAATGTGTGACTATTGTGTTAAACGTCGTAAAAGACTTCGTGTTAGTACGGAAGAAGCAGATAATGATGATACTGAGCAACCACTACAACAACATCAACAAATCAAACATGAACATGATCAATGTGTTCAAAATAATTCATCATTATTGTCAAATACCACATCTATGACGACAACAACACCGATAACATCTTCAGCATCCATCCCATCTACCCATTCAGTTGACCCACACAGTACAAACATACAACAAGTTTTTAATTCGACAGGTAATAATATTGATAGACAACAGTAGTCTACTTCATTAAGTCTCATCGTTATATTCTTCTTCTTTGAATTTAGTAGCAAATTCATCATATCCAACAGTAACACATTTGATGAATCGTTTATGTGAATATGATATGATTGATTTGCAAAATGCTCATGATGGTGAATATTTTTATGTACTAGTTTATCAAGATTATTTGACAAAATTTACACAATTACGACCATTGAAAAATAAAGCAGCTTTGGAAGTAGCAACAAATCTGATGGATATTTTTTGTATATTTGGTCCACCTCTAGTCTTGCAATCAAATGTTGATTTACAAATCGAAAATAATACTGTTCAACAAACATTAGAAGCTGTATGGCCCGGTATACGTCTGTTTCATGATGATTCAACACAATCACGTGATACAACAAAATTACGTAATGAACAAATTCGAAGTATGATTGCTGCATGGATGTTTGTTAATAATAATCCACGATGGTCGTATGGTTTAAAATTTGTTCAATTAACGTTAAATTCAAACCAAAATCTAGAACTAAAACGTTCACCTTACGAAGCCATGTTTAAAACATTACCAGTATTACGACCAGCTACGGTCACGTTATCAACCGATACACAACCAAAAAATGAACAACAAGTATTTGTCAAATTTTCTGTTATGCCACAAACATCGTCATCTACATCATCAGCATCACCACCACAACATCAACATCATCCACCACATACGCCAACATCAACATCGACAAATGTTGATCAACAACAACATCATAATTTTGTCACACCTAATGTAAATATATTATCTGGTCCAATTGATTCTGATATGATTAAAGAAGAAATGTAAGAGACTACCTCTCTCTGTCTCTTGTATACATCTTATGTTATATCGTTTGTACAGGCAACGACTTTTTTATTACTGTTTTTTTGTTTGGTTTTTCTTGTCTACTTTATTTTTCTTTTCTTCTCTTTAAAAAAGAGGCCCAAAATGAATGAGTTTTTGATTTCCTGAACGCCACCAAATTCTTCTTTTCTTTTATATATATATATATATATGTTCTCTCCTATCAACTGTATCTTCCGGATAAAATTTTCTTTGGGGGGGTGGGGAGGGGGAGGGCTTTGCTTGCACACTCATTCATCTTTATAACGTTTATTTTTTTGTGGTATGATCTTCATATTTGTTGTTTTTACTATAGAACGCAGTGTCATAAACAAAAGATTTTTGTCTAGTGTTGTTTTGTTTTGTCCAAATTTTTTGTGCTTTAAGATTTGTTTGCGCACGCTCGATTTTTTTTTCTATTTGTTTTGTTGTCGTTAGTCTTGAAGATATTTCGTAACATCGCCCGAAATAGTCTTTGTTTTGTTTAATATGAGAAAAGTATGCGCTTTTATATAGGAATATATTTGTAACGAAGAGAAAAAAGAAAAATATATGTTTTTTAAAATTAAAGTAAGAAAGATAAAGTCAATGAAATAGATCAAATTCATTGCAATAAAGGGAAAACGAGTCGTGTTCATATCTGACTTCTGATTATTCTAGCTTTGTGCTATCCAAAAACTTGGATATTTTTAAAATTTTTAATAGAAATTTCTATTTACACTTTTGAATTTTATGAATTTTATCATGTCATAATGGAATTCGATAAACTGTGGTATCTTGAAGATTAGAATAGAACATCTTCTCAAGAAACTTATCTGAAATTAGATTTATTGTTGACTCTGTGATCAACAATAGGAGCTAGTTTTCACTCCAGCGTATTTGTTTTAATACTTTTTCTTATTACATATGTTGTTATTAATAAAAAGAAACAAATCAACATTTTGAACTTGGATGTTTCCACTCAAGAAAACGAGACTTGCGATCTTTCGGGTAAATATATATGAGTTATAACGACAACGCCAGGATTTCTAATCAGTCAGCGTTCTCCTCTAATTATCGTGGGCTATCAGAGATGAGATCGTGAAAACATATTTAATGAGAGGTCTAAGAATTGATACCACCAATAACAGACTGATAGACAATATTTTTATCAACCATTCTATTCTAATCAATGTAATAAACAGATAACATACCCTACTAACAACTTCGGCTAATTCTCTCCACTCACTGTTATAACCCTAAAAATGGAAAGAACTTGTTATCACACGCTTTCACAATGATCACTATACTTACTACAAAACCGCTCAATGGTTTCAATAATCTCTCTGCTGGATCACCATTATCATCAGTATTCCCTCGCAGTGTATCATTAATAATGGCTCGGTAATCTATTATTGTTCCAGGCTAAAAAACAATAACTATTTATAAATGTAAACTGTCTGAAACAAAGAATTGATTTTAAAAAAGAAAGTACATCATAAATTGTTTTCGAATATTATAAAAAATATTAGTATCAGACCTGTTTGGAGATGAAAATCTAATGTTTACCTTTTTTTTTGTTGTATTTTGGTGTTGATTTCCTGAGGCAGTATTGTCAGTAGGTGGTTTCACAGAAGAAACTATGAAGTAAAACATTCATAGATCAAATAGCTTTTGATTTATATTCGTTCCCTCACCTTTCATGAACGATAAACTCATTTCTTCTAATGAATTATTTGTATTATTATGATTGTTCACGTTCTGTTAAAAGAAACACATATTCAGAAAGTTGTGTAAAAAAACTTTTAATTAAAGATTTTTTATTAATCCGAAAGTTTTCCTCTTGACTTATGCCGAAGGAAAAACAGTCTGTTAGTTTGACCAAGAGATGTAAGAAGCGAAGAAAGAACAATGAATACATGCATCACACCTTGATAAATTAGAACTCTTACGTATTTACTTTTGGGTCACTCGACCTAAAAGTAAATACGTTTGTCTCACGTATGCAAGTCCGTGAATTTTATCCCATCATTCGTGTACATTTTATTTGTATTTTGCTTTTGATCTGTTGTTTTGTTGTCGATCCTTTTTGTGTATCTGTGTTTATGATTATTTCAATAATTTTGTTTAGAACCTACCAACTCACCGATGACGTTTGACTAGATGGAGGAAGATTTGAGGTAGCTCCATTTGTTGTTAATGGTGGCTGAGGATGACCGTTTGTCTTCTCTGAATTAGATCGATTCAGTTTCCTGGATGCAAGTGTGTTTCGTCGTAGAATATCTCCAGCTGATGGTGGTCGATTATGACCATTTGTTGTTTCATTTAAAATAACAGCAGGGTTTGGTACGCGAGGCAATTGCGGTACATTGCTACGACGAGATGACATCGGTGCACTAGAAAATTAAATTTTTACGTATTATTATTTATTTTTCCAACTTCGTCAACAATGATAGTTTTAACCCTTTGGGGACGGGTGACGTTTTAAAACGTCATTAAAACGTCAAAAATCGGAATAAGTCGTGTTTTCCAAAACTTTCTTTTGAAGAAACGTCTCTCAAAACTAGATCATAATCAAATTTC